AACACATGGGCGGCAGAATTTGACACGAAACCATGATTTATGGCGAAATAAGCTGTAGGATTTGTCTAACATTTTTTTTTACTTTTTAGAGACCAAATAGGGTGCAATTAAAAGAGCGACTGATGTCTAATAGACATAAATCTTAGCTTATATGTTTTGTTTACCCAATTCAGACCACGTGATGTTCTCTATGGAATTTACTATTTGTAATTTCATAAATTATACATACATATGCAGGTACATGCACATGCATAGGACGAAATTTTAAATATACAGTTCTCTGGGTACCATTTTACGAGGTCTGAAATGGAAAAACAAAACACACAAGCTATAAAGGTCTATTGCAATTTGCTTACTTTTGTATGCCATTACTATTAATATACTGATGATAATAAAAAAATATGATAACAACAACAACAATAATAATAATAATAATAATGGAAATTTTATTTGTGTTTTTAAATGTACAATTGTAAATCTCGCTACGTATAGGCAATTCACAAATGCTGCTTGAGATTGGATTATCTATAAAAAGAAAACAAAAAACAAAAAACAAAAAACAAAAAACAAAAAAAAACAAAAACATAAACAAAACAAAAGCCAGAAAAAGAAAAAAATCAAAATTGCATTAAGTCTGGGCTATCCCAGTTCCTATTTCTACAACAAAAGATATAATATGTTGCTCTAATGGCTATATTTATCATTTTCTTGATTATATAACGTTGCTGCTTTTTGTCAATGCCAATGTCATTCATCATATCGAAGAACGTGGAGCATTCATCGGAGAAAACGCCAAGGGAACTCATGGAGAGATTTACAAATCTCACACATCTGTAATTTCTGCTCATTTCGTTGATCAAGTTCTAATAATAATGATAAAAATAATAATAATAATAATAATAATAATAATAATAATAATAATAATAATAATAATAAGAGAAGATAAATCTGCCCTGAAACACGCGTTTAAGTCCATGATGAAGTCAATGAAAGACAAAAAGTGGAAAAACAAAGCATTGCATGGCCAGTATCCAAAGATCCTAGAGAAGCCTCATGTGGACACAGTCACCACCAACAAATGGTTGTCAAGTAATTTGAAAGGAGAAACAGAGGGACCACTTGTAGCAGCTCAAGACCAGGCAATAGACACCTGCAGAAACTACCAGAAAGTAATATGTGGCCAGCAAGTGGAGAGGAAATGCAGAATAAGTTCGCAACATGAAGAGACAGTAGACCATATTGTATCTGGATGTGAGGTATTAGCCAAAACAGAGTACATCTCCAGGCACAATAATGCTGCCGCATATCTCCATCGGAGCATCTGTAAAGATCATCATATAGAGATTACAGACAAATGGTACGAACACGAGCCAGAGACCGTGATGCACAATAAAGATAACAACATCACCATCATGTGGGACATGCCAGTCAATACTGATAGAACTATAACAGCGCACAGACCAGACATCATCGTAAAAGATTCAGTGAATTCCACCTGCAAACTGATTGATATGACTGTTCCATCAGATAGAAACATCGCACTGAAGGAAACTGAAAAAAAAGCAAGTACAAAGACCTAGAACTAGAAATACAGAGAATGTGGCATATGAAAACCGTAGTGATCCCCGTGGTTGTTGGTGCGCTTGGTACAGTGAAGAAGGGTATGGTAGAAAACATCAAGAAAGTATCAGAGACAGCTACTATGACAGAGATTCAAAAGATCTGCATGCTGGGATCTGCGCGAATCTTCAGAAAGGTGCTCAGGGTATGAACAGAATGATTGACTTGAGTGACTGACGCTCTAGGAGCATGGTTTGCGCCCGGCTGATGCACAAAAAGAACATCAGCAAAGACTGTGATAAAAGAGATAATAATAATAATAATGTTAATAATAATAATGATAATAATAATAATAATAATACTTATAATAATGATAATGATAATGATAATGATATGATTTACCGGTGCATGATGCTCCATTTCCATTGTATCCAGGGCTGCATGTGCAGTTATAAGAACCCTCAGAGTTACTACAGAAAGCATTGGCGTCACAGTTATGAGCGTTAGTACTACACTCGTTAATATCTAAAAGGAGGGAAAAAAAGGCTATTGTCACGTTACCGTAAACACATGGGTGGCAGAATTTGACAAGAAACCATGATTTATGGCGAATTAAGCAGTAGGATTTGTCTAACATTTTCTTTTTTGAGACACCAAATAGGATGCAATAAAAAGAACGACTGATGTCAAATAGACATAAATTTTAGCTTGTATGTTTTTTTTTTCCCAATTCAGACCACGTGATGTTCTCCATGGAATTTGCCATTTGTCTTTTTATAAATTATACATACATAGGCAGGTGCATGCACATTCATAGGACGACATTTGAAAGAAACAGTTCTCTGGGGTACCATTTAACGAGGTCTGAAATGGAAAAACAAAACACACCAGCTAAAAAGGTCTATTGCAATTTGCTTACTTTTGTATGCCATGACTATTAGTATACTGATAATAATAAAAATATATATAATAATATATAATATATAATAATAATAATAATAAAGAAATTTTATTAACAACAATGCTAACTATTAAAATCCTATTTACAATTAATTCGCTTAAAAAAAGAAAAAAACATTCATTCAAAAACACTATTTACAATTCCCGTCGAATTAAAAAGCACTTAATTTAGCTTAAAAAAAGTTAATGTAACTAAGAAAAATTTTTTCGAATTAAAAACATTTCATTTCAATAATAAAAAAAAAAACTGTCAACCTCTAAAATTCAAAAGTTTTTTTTTCAACTGCTAAAAACAAAAAAATAGCAATAATAATAATGAAAAAAAAAAGATATACATGAAGTAAGGAAACACATCAATAGTCCGATTTAATAATAATAATAATAATAATAATAATAATAATAATAATAATAATAATAAGATTTACCAGTGCATAATCTTCCATTTCCACTGTATCCAGGGCTGCATGTGCAGTTATAAGAACCCTCAGAGTTACTACAGAAAGCATTGGCGTCACAGTTATGAACGTTACTACTACACTCGTTAATATCTAAAAGGAGGGAAAAAAAGGCTATTGTCACGTTACTGTAAACACATGGGTGGCAGAATTTGACATGAAACCATGATTTATGGCGAAATAAGCTGTAGGATATGTCTAACATTTTTTTTTTCTTTTGAGACCAAATAGGGTGCAATTAAAAGAGCAAGTGATGTCTAATAAACATAAATTTTAGCTTATATGTTTTGTTTACCCAATTCAAACCACGTGATTTTCTCCATGGAATTTACCATTTGTAATTTCATAAATTATACATACATATGCAGGTACATGCACATGCATAGGACGAAATTTGAAATAAACAGTTCTCTGGGTACCATTTAACGAGATCTGAAATGGAAAAACAAAACACACAAGCTATAAAGGTCTAATGCAATTTGCTTACTTTGTATGCCATTTCTATTAATATACTGATAATAATAAAAAAATATGACAACAACAACAATAATAATAATAATAATAATAATAATAATAAGAGAAGATAAATCTGCCCTGAAACACGCGTTTAAGTCCATGATGAAGTCAATGAAAGACAAAAAGTGGAAAAACAAAGTATTGCATGGCCAGTATCCAAAGATCCTAGAGAAGCCTCATGTGGACACAGTCACCACCAACAAATGGTTGTCAAGTAATTTGAAGGAGAAACAGAGGGACTACTTGTAGCAGCTCAAGACCAGGCAATAGACACCTGCAGAAACTACCAGAAAGTAATATGTGGCCAGCAAGTGGAGAGGAAATGCAGAATAAGTTCGCAACATGAAGACACAGTAGACCATATTGTATCTGGATGTGAGGTATTAGCCAAAACAGAGTACATCTCCAGGCACAATAATGCTGCCGCATATCTCCATCGGAGCATCTGTAAAGATCATCATATAGAGATTACAGACAAATGNATCTAAAAGGAGGGAAAAAAGGCTATTGTCACGTTACTGTAAACACATGGGCGGCAGAATTTGACACGAAACCATGATTTATGGCGAAATAAGCTGTAGGATTTGTCTAACATTTTTTTTTACTTTTTAGAGACCAAATAGGGTGCAATTAAAAGAGCGACTGATGTCTAATAGACATAAATCTTAGCTTATATGTTTTGTTTACCCAATTCAGACCACGTGATGTTCTCTATGGAATTTACTATTTGTAATTTCATAAATTATACATACATATGCAGGTACATGCACATGCATAGGACGAAATTTTAAATATACAGTTCTCTGGGTACCATTTTACGAGGTCTGAAATGGAAAAACAAAACACACAAGCTATAAAGGTCTATTGCAATTTGCTTACTTTTGTATGCCATTACTATTAATATACTGATGATAATAAAAAAATATGATAACAACAACAACAATAATAATAATAATAATAATGGAAATTTTATTTGTGTTTTTAAATGTACAATTGTAAATCTCGCTACGTATAGGCAATTCACAAATGCTGCTTGAGATTGGATTATCTATAAAAAGAAAACAAAAAACAAAAAACAAAAAACAAAAAACAAAAAAAAACAAAAACATAAACAAAACAAAAGCCAGAAAAAGAAAAAAATCAAAATTGCATTAAGTCTGGGCTATCCCAGTTCCTATTTCTACAACAAAAGATATAATATGTTGCTCTAATGGCTATATTTATCATTTTCTTGATTATATAACGTTGCTGCTTTTTGTCAATGCCAATGTCATTCATCATATCGAAGAACGTGGAGCATTCATCGGAGAAAACGCCAAGGGAACTCATGGAGAGATTTACAAATCTCACACATCTGTAATTTCTGCTCATTTCGTTGATCAAGTTCTAATAATAATGATAAAAATAATAATAATAATAATAATAATAATAATAATAATAATAATAATAATAATAATAAGAGAAGATAAATCTGCCCTGAAACACGCGTTTAAGTCCATGATGAAGTCAATGAAAGACAAAAAGTGGAAAAACAAAGCATTGCATGGCCAGTATCCAAAGATCCTAGAGAAGCCTCATGTGGACACAGTCACCACCAACAAATGGTTGTCAAGTAATTTGAAAGGAGAAACAGAGGGACTACTTGTAGCAGCTCAAGACCAGGCAATAGACACCTGCAGAAACTACCAGAAAGTAATATGTGGCCAGCAAGTGGAGAGGAAATGCAGAATAAGTTCGCAACATGAAGAGACAGTAGACCATATTGTATCTGGATGTGAGGTATTAGCCAAAACAGAGTACATCTCCAGGCACAATAATGCTGCCGCATATCTCCATCGGAGCATCTGTAAAGATCATCATATAGAGATTACAGACAAATGGTACGAACACGAGCCAGAGACCGTGATGCACAATAAAGATAACAACATCACCATCATGTGGGACATGCCAGTCAATACTGATAGAACTATAACAGCGCACAGACCAGACATCATCGTAAAAGATTCAGTGAATTCCACCTGCAAACTGATTGATATGACTGTTCCATCAGATAGAAACATCGCACTGAAGGAAACTGAAAAAAAAGCAAGTACAAAGACCTAG